AGAAACACGAAATAGACGATGTAGAAATGACGATAAATTGCTGTAAACAAGAGTAGCATTAAACTAAAAAAAAAAAAAGGCTGAAGAAACAGGCCACTATGTCACCACATTGAATATGATGACACTGTTGGCCTTGGGACTCTAAAGACATGGATGACAGCTGTGGTCGAATTCCCAAGTGCCCTTTCTTTGGGTATCTCTTATCCCCTTCCCCCCCTCCTTTTCGCTCTATGTTACAAAACAAAGGCATAAATTTCTCTTCTTTTTTTTTCTTCTATATGGGTTTGTTATTTATTGTATATACAAAGTTTCTTTTCTCCTTTATTTGTGTACTGGCCAGTTTTGTTTTATGTGATGGGGTGTTAGGAATTCTCTCTGTTTTGCAGGTCGGGGTTAAGGTGGTAATGTGATGTGCTAAGTGGGTTTTTGTTCTTTCATAATTCTGCAATGGATTTGCCTTTTGAGGGTAAGTTTTATTGTGTTTTGATTTGATTGTGTTTGATTTGATTGTTTCTCTTGGGTTTTGGTTTTTTTTTGGATTGGGGGGAGATTTATGATGTCAACCATTGAATGTTTCTCTTTTCTGATGTTTATTCACGGGCTAAAGTTAAAATCTTGCCGTGGATTTGTAATTTTCATCGTGATCATTCTGCTGAAATATTGTTATTTTCGTTTTTAGGATTTGGGTATCGATTAGCGTTTCTTGTGTTTTTTGTTTGTGCCAAAAAAATATTGCTTTATGAATGTTGATTAATAGCCGTTGTTGAGTTTGTGATCACCAGTCTCTTTATCGTTTATGAAAAATATATTTTGGTGGGTGAAACTGCATTTTTTGTTTGATTCTATAATGCAACTCTTTTCTTTTCTTTCTCTGCATTTTATATATCCGTACTGTGTATGATTGTTGTGTATTGAAGAAGCAAGTTTATATTATATAATGGATTGTTACACTTTCGGGCACGCTATTTTTTGAAGCGACTCCTGCAATGACTTTTGTGGAAGGCCAGGGGCAGAGGCATTTCATAGTCAAATCAAGTTTTGTGTGATTCTATGATTCACGCATGTATGATTGGGAATTTTTAATTTATTAGATCAGAGCATTCTTGGTGAAACTGTTGGGATTATTTGATGTAGTTGAAATGTATTTTTTAATGCAAGTCAACCACTTGTTTTTTGTATGTTTGGATGTAACTTATGGAAAAATGGTAACAAGTTGTTTAAATGTATTTAGAGAAAGGAAAAGAAATTTAGATCAAGCTTTCAAATGAGTCTTCTAACTAATGGAAACATGTTGACTTCATCCTGGTTACAAGTGGTTAGTTAAGCTGCCTTTCATTTAAGATCATCATTTCCTCCTGTGTTCTTCCGTTTTGACATATACAGCAAATGGGTCAAAGTGATTCAAATTTACTGCTAATTTAAGATTTATAATGCTGTCTAATGTAAAGCATGCTTTAATGTTAAAGGAAGCTCCCCCCCTCTTTTCCCCGTCAAATATAACACCATGTCTCCTGATTCTTTGATTCTTCTTTTAAATTATTTAAAGTCTGTCCTGAAGCATTTCTTTTTTCTTTTTCATGCTATAAAGGAGGCCCTCTTGATCCGTCAACAAGCAGCAAGTTAAGTATTAACGAAAAGAGAGAACTTGTCTATCAATTATCAAAGTGGCCAGGTGCATCTGCAAGGCTACAGTCATGGAGCCGTCAGGAGATTCTGCAGATCCTATGTGCTGAGATGGGTAAAGAAAGAAAATATACAGGATTGACAAAGTTGAAAATCATAGAGCACCTATTGAAAATTGTCTCTGAAAAACAATCTGGGGATTGTGAGGCCTCACCTGACCTTGAGACTGAAACGTCTCTTGCATCCACTCATAGAGCTTCCAAAAGACAGAGGAAAACTGATAACCCATCCCGAGTACCTACTCCATTTAACTATTTTGCAGCCAGCAATGGGCTCGGTGATCAAGGCAATACTGTATACTGCAAAAACTCAGCATGTAGAGCTATCTTAAGACCAGATGACACATTTTGCAAGAGGTGTTCGTGTTGTATCTGTCATCAGTATGATGACAACAAAGATCCCAGCCTGTGGTTAATTTGCAGTTCAGAGCCTCCTTTTCAAGGTGTTGCATGTTGCATGTCATGCCATCTTGATTGTGCCTTAAAACATGAAAGTTCTGGCATTGGGAAAGATGGACATCATGGGAGACTTGATGGGAGCTTCCGCTGTTTTGCTTGTGGGAAAGTCAACGATCTGCTAGGGTATTTACTCCCATATTTTGTTTGCATTTCAAATCTGGCGTTTGCATTGTGCTGAATTTGTATTTGGTTGGTGTGTTTCTCTTTTGATACATTTATTGTTGGCTTTTGGTATTCTTGGGACAAGTACTTTCAGCCTGATGCCGTGTCTTCTCCTTCATCAATGAAAATTCTGAATTCTTATGTTGAAATAGTTTGCGGGTATCATGTCACATCTGATAGCAAAGTAAAGTGTCTAATCATTTTTTCTTTGCGCCACCCCCAACCATCCATTATCAGAGCTCTAAAATAAAAATACAGTTATGCATGTCATCTTTAGCAAGCTAATGCCTTATAGCGGTAGTGGTCATTTTACTGGTTGTGGGAAGGTTGTCATTTGATTTTTGGTTGCAGGAACAGCTTGAGACAGCTCTTTTTTTTTTTTTTGGTTATTGGAGCTGTTAAATTATTTCTCTTGCATAATACCACCCGCTCTACCCAGCATGAATATCCACAATAGTATCTGATTCTTGTGCATGGGGCATTGATAAATAAATTCTTCATGCGACCTGAGAATTATGACTGCCATGAATTTAGAGCAAGTAACAAACCTTCAACCATATGTACCGCTAGTTTTGGAAGATCACAATATAGAATAGTTCCCAATATTTCATGTCTTTTCTTTCCAATATCTGATTTTGAATGGCACGTGATAAAACTTCCATATTAACACAAACATAAATTCCTGAATTTGACAAGAAAATTGGACTGATTGATTTGGTCTCTTGAAAATTTATTCAGATGCTGGAGAAAACAATTGATGATGGCTAAAGATACCAGGAGGGTGGACATTCTTTGCTATCGTGTGTCCTTGAGTCAGAAACTTCTGAATGGGACTGAAAAGTATCAAAAACTTCATGAGATTGTTGATGAAGCTGCAAAGAAGCTAGAAGCTGAAGTGGGTCCGTTAATTGGCTTACCTGTAAAGATGGGTAGAGGTATTGTCAACAGGCTTTCTTCAGGACCAGAGGTTCAGAAACTCTGCACTTTAGCTTTGGAGACACTGGACAGAATGCTTTCAAACACCATTTTGCATCCGTTGCCTGATCCAAATATGCAAGGTAATCATTGGATTTTGGTTTTTTCATGTTGTGACAAAAGGAATTTCTTTGACTGAGAAAAACTAGTTTAATTGGACAATGAAGCAACCTTCTCTAAAACAGAATGCATTAGAGAACAGTGCCGAGGAGCACATTTCATGTAAAACATGTAAAATATATTTGATTTTGGAAAAAAGTTAGATTTTTATCTAAAGACTGATGATTCCATATTGCATCATGGACACATGGGTACTTTCGATCATGGAAAGTTGTTAGGTTGTTGGAAATATATTTTCTTTTGTCCAACATTTTGGTTTTTCAGGGTATTGACTTTTCGGGGAAGTTTTAATGACCTTTATGTGTTCTCATGTCCCTTACAGATTCAAAAATGATTGCTCCAGTCACAGTCAACTTTGAAGATGTACTTGCAACTTCCCTTGCTTTGGTTCTGAGTTCTGAAGATTCTTCAACTGATGATATTGTTGGTTATACCTTGTGGCATCGTAATGGTCATGATCTGGATTATCCAGCAGAACCTACTTGCAGACTGTTCTTACCAAACACAACATATGTTGTCGCAGGTCTATCTCCAGCCACAGAATACCATTTTAAAGTTGTTCCTTTCAATGGTGTAAGAGAATTGTGCATGTGTGAAGTTCAGTGCTCAACCAGCTCGACTGGCATTACTCAGGACGAAGTCCCAAACTATTCAATAGTTGAAAGAAGTCAAAGCCCAAATACCAATTGTAGCAGCTTCTCTAATCCATCCTCTGTGGAGGATGAAACAAATAACAATCCACCATGCAATGATCAGACTGTCAACCGAGCAGACAATTATCATTCTTATTCCAAGGACACTGATAAAATTGTTTCTGCCAACAAATCTAATGGTGCTTTAAATAGCTCTGACGTCCTAGCAGATGCAATTCCCTTGCTAGACGTGGAACATGCTACACAGATGGTAAGCTCGAAGCTCAATTCTGATATGCAAATGCTTGATAAGAAGCGCTTGTCAGAGAACCAAATCATTGAGGAGATAATTACAGATAATGGGTCAGATACCCCTGTTCAAATTGCCATGGAAAGCGTGCCATTTGTGAGAAACTCTGAAGCTGGCTTGCCCATTACTCCCTGCAAGCTGGAAATGCTCAAGGATGGGCAAGGAAGAAATGGAAGGTCCAAATCCAGCAACAAAGACATGGTGAAAGTGTCTGGAAAAGGAGAGGAGCCCCAATATGGCAGCAATTCGAAGAAGAGAAGTGGGGAGTGGCGAGATGAGGAGTGTATGGCAAATGGTCATTCAGACAGGGACTTTGAGTATTACGTGAAGATCATCAGATGGTTAGAGTGTGAAGGACATATTGAGAAGAATTTCCGGCAGAAATTCTTGACTTGGTATGGCCTGAGAGCAACAGCTCAAGATGTAAGGGTTGTGAAGACATTCGTTGATACTTTTATTGAAGATCCTGCTTCTCTCGCAGAACAGATCGTAGACACCTTTTCAGAATGTATATCCAGCAGCAGATCATCTGTTGTGCCATCTGGGTTCTGCATGAAGCTCTGGCATTGACAACCTTTGACTAGGTTAAATTAAGTCCTTGCGCGAAAGCCCGCCAAGGGACTGTGTAGCAGTAATTCTTTAATTAGACCCCATTAACATTCTTCACCAGACCATCATCATTCACATGTATCACCAGCATTTGTCATTCTTGAGATGTAAGAATGCCAGAATTCATTGCCTTTTACAATATAGCATCCATCTCATTCATTAATATTTCCCCAAAAATGTTACTTGTTGATTTACTTTACTGTTTAGAAGTTAGAACCTTGGCAGTTTAGACAACGAGCTTTGACAGGAGATAAAATGTGAGAACAGTTCTAGATCAATGGAACAGTTATGGAAGCGGAGATATTGCTGAAGGGTAAGCAGGTGGGGCATTATGTTTCTCTTTGCATAATGTAATGGGTTCTGGTTCATGATGACAGTCATTAGGGAGAGTTGTGATCCAATGAGGTCCTCAACATGGTTCAAAAGTTTTTTCTGACTGACATGGCCCGTAATAAATTCGGCAGCCATTTTCGTACTGCTGTGCAATTGCAGTTCATAAAATTTTGAAATTTTTTGAGATTTTTTTTGAATTTTTTAAAATAAAAAAATAAAAAATATAGATGCTTTATTGTGTAAAGATCAATATATGCCTTCCATGCAGATGCATAAGCTTTATGGTAAATAACAAGTTAAACCATCCAGTTTCGCTTGCACGGCAAGCAACTCCAACCAGGTGCTAGATAAAGAGTTAAAAAAATATATATTTTATTTTAATTTTTAATTTTTCATTCTTTAAGAGAGAAAACTCAATAAAATGTTATTTTAATATTTTTTTCATAAAAATATTATTTCTACATATCTTGTAAAAATATCAAAACATATTGATTGCAATAATATTTTTATTTTTAATAATTTTTTTTATTTTTTAAATACATGTTTTTTTTAATGAAATTATCATGATTTCATGATCTTTGTTATAAATTTAAAAAGTTCATCTAAGTTGATTTAATTAGATTTTTTTTAATTTTATTTTTTAATATTTGATTAATTAAAAATATAACTTTTCAAATTAATTAAATTTTATCAAAATGTTATAATAATTATAAATTAAATATATTAAAATATAATTAGCTTTTTTTCTAAAGCACTTTTTTAAAAACTATATTTATCCTATTTAAAAAATTATGTAACCAATTTAACTGTTTTAAATAATTATTTTTTATTTGAGATGCTCCAAGTTTTGGATCTTAAACCAAGATCAGGGGGTAAGCTGTCGGTTATTATAAGATGTCCACAAGTGGGGTTGCAGAAACTCAACGTGGGTCCCAAACTTTTTCCTGATACCGTATGTGCATCAGCCAGGACAAGAAGGAAATGGTGATGAAAGCAAAGCTGCAGGGCTTAACAAAACTCTCCGTCTCCTTTTAATCACTGTCTCTTCCCTGTGACGACAGCCTTAACAATCCATACATCACCTCACAAACACCGAAGCAAACTTCTTTTGTCCTTTTATCAAACTGCTTCTCTTACCAAAACCATACTGCTGATCAATTTTCCCACTTCTACGACAACATCTCTTTGCTGTTCTCCCTTAGCAAACAGTTTAAAGAAAATGTCTGCCGGAATCTTTGCAGCTCCTGCAGTGGTTGCTCCTGCTTATCATGGCTTAAGAGCACTCCCCACAAAGCAGCCGTTTGCTACCAAGAATTCTGTTGCACGGAGCAGCAGAACTGTGTCCAATGGCTCTAAGACTTTTTGTATGAAGGTAATATGACTGAAACATATATGTCATCAACCACCGCTTACTTTTCTATTACTGCTTAATTTAATCTGATGTTTGTCTTTTGGTATTACTTGCACGCAATACTTGCTACTCAAATAGACATGGAATCCAATCAACAACAAAAAGTTTGAGGCTCTGTCCTACCTGCCTCCTCTTTCTGAAGATTCAATTGCGAAGGAGATTGATTACATGATGAAAAATGGATGGATCCCTTGCCTGGAATTCGACGAGGTCAGCCTAAGATTAAGCTTCTCTCCCCAACATGTATCTGATCTGTGTATTAATTGCATAGGTATTCTTTATTTTAACCTCTTTTTATGTGATTTAATGTTCAATGTTAGGTGGGAAGCGTACGCAGGGAGCACAGCAGGATGCCAGGATACTACGATGGAAGGTACTGGACATTGTGGAAGCTCCCCATGTTTGGATGCACCGACTCCTCTCAAGTCCTCCAAGAAATCCAAGAGTGCAAAAAGGCATATCCAGATGCTTACATCCGTTGCCTGGCTTTCGACAACAAGCGACAGGCTCAGTGCATGGCCTTTGTCATTCAAAAACCTAGCAACTGAGGCCTTAGTTTGGGTCAGCCACAGTTTTCTGTATCAAGGAACCTGGTTTTTGCTCTGCTTTCTCCACTGTTAATCCCTCTTGTTTCTGCAAATAAAGACGGTGGGAAGTAGGTAAGTTAGGCGGCTGGCTTGTGGAGATACTAAAATAATAATATTTTTGTTGGACTGATTGCTCTTAATAATATAAAATCAACGCTAGTGAATGTGGTTAGCCCATGGTTTTGGTGCAACAGGGAAGGAATTACCCCTGGTTTTCCTCCTTCCATGGACTTCCCACGTGCGGCTGTTTCGTGTTGAGTTGCTTGTGGACGTAATGCTCAGGTTTATTATTCTTTCTTCTGTTTTTTTTTTTTTTTAAGCATGGTGGCAGAACAAATATATATAAAGCTGGAAGCGCATCTCTCACATGCGTGACCTGTCAGCAAGTCTAAATATCTTGGCACGTGATACACGCGCCAATAGGCCTAATTTTTTGTTGTGGCGGGCACGTGTGATACCTGCACTTGCAAGTTTAAATTTCTTATACCTTCGTCACGCTAAGATGCATATTTTTTAATGTTTTATTCCTTTTCTTTTCTTTTTTCTCTCTAGGTTATTATTTCCCCCAGCCTCTTAATTTTTATATTTAATTAATTTTAGTTTAATTATTATGATTAATTTAGTAGTTGTTTTTTCAGAATCAAAAAACTTATTTTTATTCAAGATGGGCAATACAGACAGGCACAAACCTATATGACCAACCAATCTATGCTAATTTAAGAAATTTTTATTTTTAAAAATTTTATTTTAATATAGATATAAAAATAAATGGATAAAATAATTTTAATTTCATGAGTTAATTCAGTTGACTTGATTTTTTTTTAATTTTTTTTAATTTTATATTTTAACATTTGATTTATTAATAATTAGATTTTATGATTTATTTTAATTTATTTTTTAATTATTTTTATTTTATAACTTAGATCATAGGTTTAATGAGTTATTCAAAATTATTTTTTTATATTTTTTAATTAACCTTTTAATTTCAATTATATTAACATAGAAAAAGTTTTATTGCACCCTTTATACAGCATTATTTATCAAAATAATATTTTTATTTTATTTTATATTTTTCAATATAAGTTTGTTTCCTTTTATTTTAATTTTATTATTTATTATTAGATTTATTAGAAATTAAATTTTATTATTTTTTTAGTTTATAATTATCTTAATCTCATCATTTAAATAATAAATTTGATAAGTTAATTTAATTGTATCGAGTTTTTTTTTCTTTTAAGTTTAACTTTATTGTTAAGAATTAATTTTTTTAATTTATTTTTTATAAAATTATTATTATTTTATAACTTAAATTACAGATTTAATAAATTAATCTATCCACAAATTAATCTTTATGGCATCTAACTTCATTCTTTTAAAAACTAAAATAGTAATAGAATACATTCCAGCACATTGTAGCATGGGAGTGAAAACGCTATTTATCAGAGCTCATGATTTTGCCTCTCTCATTTGAAAAACTTAATTAGCTATTATAGACATTTAAGTCTTTTTAGAAGACCATTAGTTTCAAATTAATCAACGATTTTAAAAGTAAAATAAAATAACCAAAATATATATATAAAAAAGATATCAAGAGGTATTTTTATAAAAAAAAAAATTATTATTATTATAAGTTAACTAAAGGATAATTTTTCATTTGATCAAATATAAAAAATAAAACAAAAAATATAGTGAAATAATTAAAATATTTTTTTAAAAAAGAAAGTAGTATCATTGAATTTTTGTCTTTTCAGAGACTATGTTTATTTTTTAAAAAGTGATTTCTGAAAAATCACTTTCCAAACTTTTCTGTAATTATTTATCATTAAAAAAGTTGATCAATGAAAAACACTTTTCAGTTAAAGAAAAATTTGGCTTATTTTTCAAAAAAAATATTTCTAAAAAATTTAAAAAGAAAATACTTTTCAGAAGTTATAAAAAATTTAAAATTAAAAAAAATATTTCTAAAAAATTTAAAAATATCATATTATTTATTAATTATATCAAATTTAATCTTCAAACTTTTAATTGTTGTATATATTTTATTTTGAATATTTATTTTTCAATTTCTTCTCTTAAAATTTAATTTTTATATTAACTTTGAGCTTTATTTTTATAATAATTATTTTTTTATTAAAAATTTTTATTTATCAAATTTAATCCTCATTCTTTTAATTGTTACGTATTTTATTTGAAATAATTTATAAAATATTTATTATTATTATAATTTCTTCATCTTTCATTTTATTTTTATTTTTTAAATTTAATCTTTATTATTTTAATTATTATTTATTTTATTTGAAATAATTTATAAAATTATATTTTTTTAATTTTATTTTCATTCAACTTTTTTAATTCGTAAAATTTATTTCTTATTATTTTAATAAACTTGAAAAAAATAAAACATTAATAAGTTATTTTTCATGACATAACCAAATACTGAAAAATATTTTCCAACTTATTTTCCATTACACTATCAAACATCAAAAAATAATTCACTTTCTAAAAAAATCTATTTTCTAGTAAATAGAACTAAAATATAGTTTTCATTATCTTTATCTTTGGCTATATATATGCACACACAAAAAACAAAACAAAAGGTATGTCTAAAGAAAGTGAACAGAAAGAGATCAATCCACTGTCTATGTTGTAAAGCATTATTAAGCATTATCTTGCAAGTTTGGCGTATTGGTCATGAGAGGTTGACACCTAAAGAGATGGTATTCAAAACCCCCAGCCATAGAGGGCTCCATTTCCAAAGCCTAGTCAATCCCCTCTCCCCTTCTCAATGCAATCCATTACTTATTATTATCCTTGGCATTTCCAGTCTAAAGAAAGTGAACTAGGCAAGAAGGCACTTATCAACCCTTCTGGGAAATTGACCTGCTGGAGGCCTTTGCCAGTTCCACCAGTAGCACGACAGGTTGAGGAATGAAAAGTTGGATTTCTGGAGCATCACGAAAACGATATGAATGCTCTAGAGTGAAACAATAGCAAAATTTTGAAAGGAATGATTGACCTAGAAGATATCTGATAATCTGCTCAAACCAATCAGAAAATCCAAATTGACAGGAATTGCATTTTTCAGATCAGACAAACACCAGTTCCAGCAGCGTCGGCTACAAAGTGAACTACTCCGTGAAGACCAAACTGGAGTAAATTATGTAACTTGCTTAACTAACCATCTGGACACTAAAATTGATTCAAAGACTGTCAAAATCTTTATTCAGAGGTCGTAAATTCGGTGAAAGAATGCAGTCACCAATTTGTACCATGATCTACAACCAAAAAAGCACCAAGTTTAGGTGCCAAACCCTCACCAGTGTGGTATTTGGGGCCTTGGGTTCAAAACCCATCTTCATGCTCACACAATACTAGCCATTACCTAGCCAAGTAAATGACAAAAAGTGGTAAAATGATTAGAAAATAAATATCCACATGATTTCCATCACTAAGACTTCATTCATCAGAATGCTGACCTGCAATTGCTCTCACCAGAAAACCATCCATATCTACAAACAAATAGAATTAGCAGCCTCAACAAGTCACTATGGTCCTCAAGGCATTGCACTGTCACAAGCAATGGCAGTTAGAACAATATTTTGAAGTCTAACAGATTCATATAATAGGATCAATTCATTTTGCAAACATGTCTCCACTGGAGATGATCAATCACAAAGGCAAGGTCTAAACCAAGCCAGTCCAAGCACTACTGAACCAGTAATTAATAACACATTATGTCCATACAAAAATCTCAGTTCATGGTAGAGCAGAGAACTAGAGCAAAAAACTTGAGTCTTACAAGGTCTTTCATCAAGGCCCTACTGATGGAATACAAGCATGATCACAGCACTGCTGAGTCATCTCATGCTAGAAGATATTTGCAATCTGAAAAAACAAAGAAACAGTGATCAGCAGAAAAAATCAGTAAAATGTTCATTCTTAATCAATTTTTTCTTGCTGTAATGTATGTCAAAGGTGGCAATCATTGTCACAAAGTTCATAGGAATGCAAAAATGTACAAAGAAAAGGTGGGGGTAAGTGCTTTATGAGTGGAAACATGTGATAAAGAGGCAAATTAATGCGCATTCATTCCTCTACATAAATTAATAACACCATCCACATTGGCGAAGAGACAAATACACTCGTTTCTTTTTCTTTTTGTTTTATTTTTACAAAGTAACAGGTAATCATTGATAGGGCATAATAAAAAAACAACAATGCAGATAAAGTTGTGCGACAAGAGGAAACAAGATCTTAAAGCAGTAAATAAGAAAAATGGCTCAATTTGAAAGGACCAGGTGTAGTTGGGCTGAGACGAATATGAGCCAAGGCCAAAGAGAAACAAAGACTGCCAGAGTTTGGAATTAGAAATTGCAGTGGAAAACAGAGTTGTTGCTATTCAGGAAAAAAACCACTCATTTAGCAGTGTTTTATTGTGATAAGACACAGACTAAAAACCACTATATGTTTCATCCATGCTATTAGCACTTAAAATCTAACTACCATGTATATTAAGCAAACATGCCTCTTGTCTAAAGAAAACAATCACAGGTCAATTTTTTCATTCCAACATAATTCATCAAAATGGAACTTAATGTCTACTTGATATGAAATGTCCTATCGAAAACAAAAATCTTGATGATATGTTATAAGAAAAGAAAAGGCTCCTCTAATATTTGCATTGTGTCCAGAGAGAGAGAGAAGAAGACAATTAACAATTGGGAAAAAAGCTATTCACAAACTAAATACATCTCTACAACCATATTTCATTCGATATTCTGAAAATTATTTCATTATTGCCTACTAAAGCAAATTTGAACTTCAATCTAGCATTCTCTGTTAAGTATTGAGATTCCGTTTATTTACCAGTTCACAAAGCAATTCGAGTTTGAACTAATATTTCTTAATCAAGACCATAAATCAATAAACAATTAAACTCAATCAAGAACAGCTTCAAGTTTCTCTCTTTTTATTATTATGTCAGGAGATTTTGTAAAAAAAGAAACAAAATATATACCACCAGTCATTAAGACATCCACATGTTCAAAAATCTAAGATAAACAAGCTCAAACAGCACCTAAACCATTCACTTAAGGTTGCAACTTGAAAAAAAAAAAACAAGCCAATATCAGATTA